GGATAGTTCACCTTCAGTTGCTGGTCCCCACTGACTTGCATAGTGGTTTTTTTTCTTCTTTCCCATACAATGGAAGTTAACGGGGACTTGCAACTGAAGGTGAACTGTCCCTTTAAGCGACTGCTTGAGTGTGGAATGACAAGTGAGCAGTGACAGCCAACAATCTTTCATTTAATAACGTTGGATGCAGCAGTCGAGAATGAACGACGACCGAAGCACTGTCCAAAACTCTTATGCTATCAAAATACTTCAAACCGCATTCAATCGATCTATACAAAATCACTCATAAATGTCTCCTAAATAGACTAAATTTTTCAAATTTAGAAAAGCTCAATCAGCTAACAGTCGGTCCCTCTCATTCACCAGCTATGAATTCATGTGTGTCTCTCTCTGGTCCCTCTACATTGGCCAGAGCCCCCTTCTGGAGCCCCCCGTCACTGCGTGCAGCCTCACGGGGAGTCTGTGCCAGCAGGTGATGAGAGGATGAGATGAAGGGAATGCAGAGAGAGGAGAGGATTTGCGCTCGCTGCAGACACGTCTACTGGTTCTTCTTGTCTTCAGGTGGGGAGTAGGGTGGAGGCTTGTCCTTCAGAATAAAAACAGAACAATATTCTCAAATTGTTACCCAAGTTGGTATGTTTAGCTTTGATGAAACTCTACAGGTTGGACCTGGTTGTATGTAGAATTTAACATGTTTAACTAGATTACATGAACTTTATTATATGTGAACTTGGCAAACAGGTCGGACCTGGTTATATATTGACTTTGTTAACATGACATACCTCGGGCAGGTAGACCCGTGTCGGAGCAAACGTAGTCGCGCTGGAACTCGCTGCAGCTTCAGCTGCTTTTGCCTCCGCTAGAACAACAAACACAATCAATTTAAGACAGGAGTGACGTCTTGAACTATAAAGAAGTACAGTAGTGGCTCATACCTGCGGGGGTTCTGGGCAGGTCTGGTTCCGGAGGAGCGTGGTTCATCGGAGCTGTATACGGCGGAGGAGGCATGTAGGCTGCTGGTC